TTCAAGTTCATCACATCCTAAAATTACTCAAGTTAACGCGTTCACGTACATAAAGACGTACATATATTTATATACATATATATACAAATTTGAACGAATGGTGTTTTAGGCCTCTGGGGACGTCAAAATGAAAAAGTAAATCGGTCCCGGGCCTAGGTCTTACCGTGCCACCTATGGTAATAGCTACTTCGTATTCGGAAATTTGCTAAAAAGTGTCAATCTTTCATTGGGTAGTGGGTAATGGTAGTGACTGATTATTTGTTAATTGTAAAAGGTGTTTACTGTTGGAAATGGCAATAAATTAATGGGATTGACATATTCTTGAGTTATAAAAATTATTGGCTCTCGTTTTTACTGCCCCTTTAATCTCTATATAATCACCAAACCAAGAACCGTGGTGTTCTTATCAATTAGTTACAACAATTAAACTATTAAGTTATAATTTATAAAGGACTGAATGAGTCAAATCAGTAGAAGTTCTTTCACAAAGAGGATTAAAATATTTAAATAATTAAACAGACAATTCATTGGATAAATAACTTGTAGCATAGATAAAAGGAGTATAGATAGTATGTCTACTCCTTTTATCTATGCTTGTAGTTAGGCTTTTACTATTTTCACTATCATTGCCGTTCACAACAATTCGTCTCACAGCTATATTTCAATCAAATCACATCAACATCATTTCTGTTGTAGATATTTTACAATGCACTAACAACCATCTTAAATACATAGATATATTATTAATACAGGAAAGGAATAATTTAATCTAATAACAGTAATAAGACACTGATACAATAATACCGTATAAGAATGTAATAGAAGATCCAAACTAGCATTGACATTCGCAACAGTTCGTCTAATCGCGGCTAGGTGCACTAGGAGTCACTAGCATTGACATTCGCAACAGTTCGTCTAATTGCGGCTAGGTGCGCTAGAAGTCACTAGCATTGACGTTCGCAACAGTACGTCAAATTGCCGCTAGGTGCCTCTAGAGTTGAACTTTCAGTTTTTAACCCACCGTCGTTTATTTATATATCCATATTATTAATTCTATTAAGTGCAATAAAAAACTGAACGTTTTCCTGACAATTAAACCCTGTATGGATTCTCAAAATAACCCGATTATTTCATTCGAATCTGTGTTAGTATACTGTAAAGGCGTTTTTAGTTGCAGACTCTCGCTGGGAGTTTGTAGTAGCTGATAGATGACTTCCCTAATTTGCTCTTACTCAATTATGTTGTTAACTCAGACTGTAATGTCAATTTTTAAAAAGCCGAGAGTCGTAATAATCTTACGATGATTGGCTTATAATTCTCACTTCTCAGACTCGGGTAGTCTAGAAACCCTTGCCGACAGACCGCTACCGCCCACCACCACCCACCACTGCTCGAGCGAACATCATTACCGCAACGATACAATGTAGTCACCGGTCTAGCGTCTAGGTGGTTAGCGCACCGGGCTGATGATTTGTATGTTGCCGGTTTGAAATCATACGGAGACATTAACTTTTTGACTCGAATTTTTTCGTCATCAGCAAGTATGGTTGGTTTGGTTAGGTTATGATAGTTTAATTTCATAATTAAAAAAATTATATTATTGATTTTGAGACATTTATAATTTTATTTTATGAACAGAACTATTTTTGTTAATAGTAGTCTAAACCTTCATTCGATATTTTCATTATCAGCAAGTTTGGTTAGTTTGGTTAGGTTATGATAGTTAAATTAATTTAAATTTAACCTACAAACGATACATTTTGACAGCGACAGTGATAGAGATAACGATTTTCCACGAACAGTTCGGTTATGCACGGAATGATGCGTTCTGCACGGCGCGGTGGTGGGCGGTGGCGGTCTTGTAGATAGTCTGATCTCGTATAAGTCTAAGAATGTTGTCCCATTCATGAGACCGGAGCGGGCGCGGTGGTCACTTGACATATGGCCGGCCACACAGTCAGATGTAGTTCCCAGATACGAGAGTCAAAGGTCATCCGTACGTTTTACGTCGTTTTACTTTCTAGTTGGACTTTCCAGAAACTTACAAGATAATATTCAACATAGCTCTACAGAGATTGCCAAATAATTTGGTGGTAAAATATACACGGAAAAACCATGGCTCATTATTTTTATTACAATACATTTTCAGTTTCATAATAATAACAATCATTAAGCCTCCAAGATTTGGTATAGCTATAAAATATGCTTATGGATAGTAAAAATATTTGTAAACAGGCCATTTTCAATTTACTCGTAGAAAAGATACACTTTGACGCTAAACGTAGAATCGTGTGTTGTTTGTGAGATTCGACAGACTATTTATATATTGAATACTAACTTGGTATGTTCACCCTGCAATGCCCACAGCACAAATAAAAAATCTATTTATATAAATTTACTAGCAAATTTATGGGTATCACTTACTAGAAAACGTATGTTTATGTTTGAACTCATATTTATACTGTATTAATATCTTTTTAAAATTAAAATACTTCTCTACGATACGACTGTCGTATCCATCGATGGAACTTTTAACTCGAACTCTATTTATATAAATCCTTGGTCGTATTCTTGCCTGTGTCTATGGTCGTGTGGGTTTTAGAAAATGTCCACGGTCTAGAATGATGAATTATTCTAGTTTGGTCGGCCAAACGTGTTTGAGGAGACGGAAACTTGCCATGATTTTACCCGAGCATTGTTAATAATAAATGATCCGCATAAGCAAATTGTTCATGTGCATGTATACTGTGACGGATGTGACAAAAAACGCAAGGAAGACCTCACCTTGAAACTTCCCACGCAAGGATTTAGTCCAGAAAACAGCTGTTTGCCGCCAGCTTAATCAAATGGGGGTTCATTACGAACTACTGTACTGTCATGAGTTTTACCGGACACCAATCAGCTGATTATACTGCATTTGGGTGGGAACGAGTGGTTATAAACAAAAACATAAAGAGGTTATGGCTAGTGATTTTTAGTTCTTATGTTGGTGGTATAAGGATTTGTACAGATTTAGTAATATGGCGTAAACTATACTATCCTACACATGAGTTTACCGGACTAGAAAATGAGCGAGATAATGAGCGAGATAACCGTAGAAGCCACTGGAGCAGCTGATATTATCGACCTGGTACTATAGGCCTACACGCCGCGCCCAGTCACCAGCGATACTATATAGTGATTCATTCAAGTCCTGTGTGTGGATTCCTTTACAGAACATTAACTATAATTGCTCTCATAAACAGACAAGCAGTCATAATTTAGTTCACGCACCGTTTCCGATCTGTAACTCGGCAACAAGGCTGTATCCAAGAAACTGTGAAATCGGTGGCTTTCTCGTATGCAGTAGGATGCAACTCTTATAAAATATTTATATAAATATACAGGGTGTCTCGCGAAGAAGTCTAGACATCTGATTTGATATCACTATCACATTTGTGCACCGAAAGCTTTAACTTTACTTTATACATTTTATAATATAAGTTTTGAAAATAATTTGTGAGAATTTCAGCTTCCTAACATTTGTATAAAAAAAATGGCGGCTTAATAAAAGTTTTCAATTTGTTTCCAATCAAAAAATTTTCTTAAGCTATTGCGAACCTGATTTGTTTACTATGTTGGGGTTTTTGATACTTATTGTTGGAAAGTTGTTAGATAAAAGGAAATATTAAATGAAATGAAACTGCACTTGATCTATTAGTTTAAACTAATCTTCTTATTCTTCAATTGCTTCATAGAATAAACAGCTGTAATTTGTTTATAGATATTTCATCAAATTTGGCCAATGTATTAATTTCATAGTAAGCTATTTACATTTCAAGAAAAAAATATAACAGAAATACACGATTTCTAGTAATAGAATAAAGCTAAGCTAGTGAAGCTACAACTAAAAATTGTGAGATTTAAGTTATTTTTTATTCAATCTTTTAAAACTTATGGTGTCGTTCTATAGGAAATTTTAAATGCTAAATAAAAGTATTCTTGATGTTTTTCATAAAATCATCAATTTTTTGTAATTAAAATATAAAAAAATTAAATGGCCGCCATTTTATAATTATAAGTTGGACAACAATGATTTTTTAAAGATGGGTCTTATCTACCTTAGTGTACATACTGTACCAAGTTTCATTAAGATTAGTTGGAACAATCCAAAGATAAACATGTTTATGTAAAAAAATACAAAATGACGGATATCTAGTTAACAATGCGATTTTGTAAAAAGGTTAATTTTGATTTTATTTTGACCCATATAACCATTTGCCGGAGTTTGGCGGTTTACTTAAAGGACACCCTGTGCAGAACATTTTTTATCAACCTACAAAAGACACATGCTCTTTGACATAAAAATAGGAAAATAATCGAGTATTTCCCTCTTAAGCATTTTCTGTCACTGTTATGTATTTATTTTGAAATGTTGTGTTTTTTTTTCAATAGTAACATGGCTGACCCTTATTTTATGTAAGTCATATCAACCCTCATGTGACACATAAAAAAACACACCAAAGTTAGTTGCTTAATGTATGTCAATGTTCAATGTGTGTATTCCTTCTTTTCTTTATTTACGATTCTATCCAAACCCTAATAATTGCATCCTCAACTTCATGGGTCTACTCAACCTGACCTTTTGGAGTAATGATGATTTACTCATGGGTACAAAAAAGCTGTTGGCCTAGTCACTGTAAATGCAATTCTGGTGAGTCTAATGCTACAAATCCATGGTAACGAAGTTAAGGATTTGTGTTCGGGTATCAAAAATTTAAAATTTGTCAGTACAACTCATTCTCCTCCTGTACCCATTGATTTCCTTAATATGTTGGTACGGTGCCATGCACAGGCAATAAAAAAACAACAGGCACGATTGTTTGACTGTATCACAGGTAAATGAGCCTTTAAATCTGACTATTTGACAATCCAGAAGCTATTCCATAATTAAAGAAAACACATGTATTCTTTTCAAAAATTGTAGAAAACTCAAAGTAAATGCATTGATGTTGTTTCAGAGTTTCCTTGGTGATAGTGCTGATCTTGTGGCACAAATCCACTGATGCTGAGCCCGACACGGTTGCTGATTCTGGTGCTGACTTCCTTCAGTCTGTTATCAGCAGAATGCAGAATGAAAAATACATAAACTATGCAGAAGACCTCCAGCTTGAAGACTACAGACCGACACCTCATCCTTACAATGACATTCAACATCATGACCTTCAACATCATGACATTCAACATCATGACATTCAACATCATGATGTTCAACATCATGAGGTCAGTATAAAAAGTTACTGAGATTTAAACACGACAACAGAAAAATCAGTATGGTAAATCTCTCCTTATTTTGTAGCTCACTATCTAGTACAAGTTTTAGTTTGCATATTAATTTATAGAATTTATGTCACCTAATTGTTTGGTAAAGCTTCAGCATTGTTAAAGTTTAAAGTTGTTTATGCTTCTTTAAAGAAAAATTTATTTAGACTTGGATTATTGCATTTCATTTTTACAACAGTCAATTCTCTTATATGATTCCATATTGTTCGTTCTGATAGCCCCTGGACTACAAATAATGACTTTATAGGCTTACCTCTGTCAGTAGTCCAAAATTGTGTCTTAATTCAACTAATGTCAGCTTTGATCAACATTAGTTGAATTAAGACACAATTTTGGACTACTGACGGAGGTAAGCATATAAAGTCATATGATTCCAGTTTAAGTTTGTTTGAAAATATAACAATTTTGCAGATTTTTGTAAATTTCAAATTATTAGAAGCAGTAGCTAGTGTATTAATATAAATTTCTACTTAATAAACCAAACGGGCGAGGCCAAGCCGTTGTAATATCTTGAAGAAATATATTAGAATATAAATTATTTGAATTAAGTATAATAAGATTCTTTTTCAGTTATTTTTTTTTTAGGAAAAGATACCTACTTGGCTCAAGATATAAACCCAGATTGAGTAAAGTTGCTCTTTTCTATCTTTCTTAAATGTGGACTAATTTAAAATTCTCCTGCACATTTTAATTATTAGTTAAAACTATATTAATGACTTGAATTTGTATTATTTATATAGAAATTTCCATACCATAATAATCTGAGGGTATAGCTTAAGCTCCCCCCTCTTTGCTAACTACATTTTGGTAATAGTCGTAAGTTGTAATTAGTTTGAGGCATTGATAAGAAACCTGATCAGTAATACTGATGAACTAGCTGTAACTCCAGTTTACATCATAGTCATTTTCACATTGGGGAGTTTTGGATTAAAACCTGATGATTTGAAAGAATTGGAGTAGCCGTAAATTGGAGTAGGGTATGTGTACCTTAAGGTTAGCCTGACTACTGGTACTAAAGTGGGGTGTGTTGCTAGCCTTGTGATTAGCATCTAGGACCCTGTTGCAAGAGGGACAGGCTCAATCCCCGCCATATCCACACAAATTTGGAGAGTGTTTGGACCATTTCCCCTTAAAAGCGTTTGTTATACCTATTTTCAAAATGCCACTGGTGGTAGAGACACTAACAAAACAATGTATATAGGTACATATTTTTTTTAACAATCTAATTGTGTTTGTAGACTTCTGCTCCTCCTCTGTCTAAAGGAGAACTGCTAGCCCTGTACCAAGCCTCTGTGGCCGCCAGCACTGGTCTTAACATATCTGCTGAACCTCCTCTACCTCTCTCTAATGAAGTTAACAACCATCATCAAGGTAATGTAATCAAAGTTTTGATTACATTTCTGAATTCTTTGTAAAATATGATTTATCATTAGCTTTTAGAACTACACAGAGTTGTTTGTTACATTAGTCTCGATTATACCTCTATGTTATACCTGTAGTGTGAGGGATTTTTACCCTTAACAATAACCTTTGATTTCTAAAAATTACCCAGATAGTTCAGGGTATGGGTGTCTAACTATCCAGGGGTCTAAAGTTAGCGTACATCTTGATTTCCCTATAAATATCTCGAGGTTTAAGCTCAGTCTGCGGCCACCAAGTACACCTACAATGAACTCATCATCCCCCACCTCGAGATATCTAATTTGGACTTTGACCCAAATTATTACACCCTTAACTAACTTTTCACTTTTTTGTTATGTTGGGTGGTGTCTTTACGATCAAATTTTTGCGGTAACGAATGTTTACCGTGACCCTACCGACTGATTTGTAGGTTAAGGTAACTATCCATCCGTTAACCTAACTTGTGTTGCGACTTATTCGGTCACGAGATGGTACTTACCTCGTTCCGTAGTCCAAATCCGGTCGAACACAATTCTCCGTGGCAGGGTATAGAGTACAGGTCCCTCCAATCAGCTTAACTCCGCCCCGAGGTATTCCCTCACGGTTCCTAACTTCTCTTTGCTGTGGCAGGGTATATCACCTCCGAGCAGCCTAGCTTCCCCGCGAGGTATTCTAAGAATTTAAATTAACCCTTTTTATTTCCTCTTCTTTCCTGTTGTGTTCTGATAAAACAACTATAAGGGGATTTGTTTGGTCTAAAATTGCCTGAAGTGAATTTAACCTAGAGGGGAGGTGTTGAATGTTGTGGTGAAAAATTTTGATAAAATTATGTTCTAATTTTATTTTATTGGTGTGGTGGTTTGTAGAATTGAGTTTAAAGCCGAGAAAGCTGACTATGCCGCTCTAGTTATGCATAACTGTATACAACCCAGCACTGACCCCACTTCCATCACCAACACTTCACTGTATGAGATAGGTCGCCAGGTACCACAATAACTTGCTCTGTTTGAGTTGATGTCTGCTCCGTGAGTTGATCAGCTGCTCTTGTCCCCGTTGTGGACACTGGAGTAGCTGTAGCCTCATTAGGTGTTACATTGGCAGTGGTGTCTCCAGCTTTAGCTGTGTCCAGTTGAGATGGTGAAAGGTGTCCCTGTTTTTTATTGATCAAATCTTTCAGTTGACAGACAAAGTCTTTGTGAGATAAGCCATTCTTCAAAGTCTGACAAGGATTGTGACCGTATGAGACTATTGTGACTTTAGCCTTAGTAGGTAATTTGTTGGAACTTAAAAATGTTATTAATAAAGTGATTTAAATCTATCTTGTCTTGAAGACAACCGATTGGGGAGTAGATGAGGTGTTCTAGCTTCTTCCTCCTAAAACTGTCGGTTAGGTCTCTAAAGGCAGTATCATAGTCACTTTTGTAAGGCTTTTCAAAATATCTTGCTTTCGTTATTAGACTATAAACGGCTGCTCCATTATGGTGATTTTGTATAGCCAAGTGACTGGTTAAGCGCTGTGATGGTTTATGTTTTCCGTAATAAGACTTGAACACTACTGCTACCCCGGCAGTCATGTGGCCTGGGTCAGAGATATCAACAGAGATACTGTGTACAAAGCCAATTTTTTTTGTTTTTTCGGTGTTGTTTGAAAAAATTACCAATGTGAATTTTCAACCAACTTTACGGGCATGACATCATTATAAGACTCTGTCATTTTAGCTACCTTTTTCTTAGCTCCTGATTTAATTAAGTTTGCATCTGCAGAGTATATCCGCACCAACATATCCCTTATCGCAAACCCTAATTCTTTCTTGCCTCTTATGTTGAAATGGAGACCTTGCTGTCCAACATGAAAATGTTTAAATTTATTGCTGTCTATGTCAACTAGATTAACATTGTGCATTCTCTCAGTTAGCTCTCCAATATAAGCATTAAAGGAGATTTATTTTATTTTGAACTCGATCCATGATATCAGCATCAAACCTCTGAGGAACTGTAGTCAAAATCACTGTTTTTTGCTACTAATCTCGATAAGCTTTTTCTCCAGGTCTCTGTAAACTGACTCAAAGTTACCACAGAAAGACTACCACAATAGTGTTGTTTTTGTTATGAGTTGTTGTTTTTTGTAATGAAAAGTTCAATGGAAAACAAATTGAATAGCTTTGACAATTTATGAAATTTGATGATGTTTAATATCATAATGGTTGCATTATTTTTTTCATGTCTTCCAACCTTTATTCCAATCCAACTTTGCTGTGAACACTTTAGGCTGGTTAACTGTGACTCTACTATATCATTACTTTTATATTCTCCTATTGTTTCAACAGATGAATTGGTGGCCCCAGCAGAGCAAGGTGTTTTGAATGGCTACTACTATTACTTCTACCCCATCAAGAGCTTCCTCAACCAGACTGATGATGATCACACTATGGCCAATAGCAGTCAAGATATGATGATGATGATGATGAGTGATGCTGGGATGATGGATGGCAACAAGGACATGATGGTAGACCCTCTCTTCCTAGCTACAGCAGGATTTGTAACCATGGCTACTCTAATTTCAGTCGGCATCCTATTCCTACCCAAATTCGGGAGCGATAGGTCTTGGAAGAAGGCCGCCTTGAAGAATATTCCTGAAGAGGAGGATGATATGTTCAGCTTGACACGGGTTATCGGACAGGCCATCCAGGGCAAGGACTGTGCAGAGAGGTTAGCTTGTGAACTCGGACGGACCATCCGCAACATGAAGCTGGGGCAGAAACCACTCAGGTGAGTCCAGGGCGCTTTAAGTTTGAGATTAGTTTCAATAGTTCATTGAATATAAGACACTTTAAACTTATAGCTAAAGGATACAGCTTACAACTGAAGAGTAATAAAACAATCAAATAATATACATTACATCATAGTTATATCACTGACTAACAGTCATAGACATCATATGTACTTATATGTTGTAAACGTCATACACACTTGGTTATGTGTTATAAACCTTTTAGCTGTACAACATTGAGTCAAAGGAAGCATTTTCTTTTTTTTACACCATAATACATAATTTGTCACGTACTTGTAGAATAAAATACATCATAATACAACCTCATGCCTTATATATGGGTGCAGGATCACACTATAGTTGTTGAAATAGGAAAAAAATCACATAGTAAAAGGGTTAGTAAATGCAAAAATAAAGGTCAGTATCAATAAAAAAAGGTCAGTATAAATCAATAAGCTACAATAATAGCTGAAGCAATTTATAGCAGCAGTAATGTGTAAATAAAAGTGGTCAGAGTAGAACCATAGATAAAACATACTCCCTTAGTAGATTAGTCATCCTAATGAAACAGCTGAAGCCAATTTTATTGTTCGTTCTGTACGTCCAACTATAGAGGTTATGTTTTGTTTACAATTTGTTTCTTGTTATTGCAGTCATTTAAAACCTCGTTTAACCTAATAAAACGATATACTCATAAACAATAACTGGTCTCCTAGTTATATAACCAAATAGTAAAGCACAAATCATGAAAATAACCCTAAAATAATAGAAACAAAATGTTGTCTACACTAGCGATCAGTGTGGACGTATATGAACTAAACGCAAAAAACAAGCTTCAAAATTTACAATGGGATGAGGAGGTAGAACATTTCTTTGGATACACCAGCTCTTGTCAGAACTGATATACAGTCCTTTTGGGGAATTAATTACTCTACATTTAGTCTAGATTCCATGTTCGTATTGTAGCAATATAATTTGTATATTTGGTGTTACCTAAAGATTTATGAAAAAAGCACACTTGGAGGATGAATTAATTGAATATATTATGAAGGACAAACATAGGTGCAGGAGAAAGTCAAAAGTGGTTGAATTTTTGATGACTGAGTTATTCTGAGGTTGGATAAAGGGGGGTGGCACCATAGAGTACATATAGTCAATAGTTGCACTATAATGCTCTTGCAAGTGTAAATTTTACAATATTTCAATCATTAAAAAAATATATCTTCAATACCTACTTAATTAGAAAACAGTTGTTCAAACATTATTTTTGAATCTTTACTGACATTACACTTTTGTAAAGAGCGTGTGTTGGTTAAAATAAATATCTAACTGTTGCAGAGTTTTGGAGGCAATGTTGCCGCGACCATTAGCTCAGCAGCTGTCTCAAGTCCGGCAACATGTTGTGAAGAGAGAAAAGTGTCAGTTCATCCCCTGCAAGTGGAACAAACAAAAACCAAACAATAAACAAGAAAGGAAACCACAGAGACAACCAAAAACTAACGTTCACTCTATTTAAATTCAATCTCCACTCAGTCATTAATTATAGTATTTTTTACTTACCATTGTATATGTATTATAGTTAAGACTTTATTTATTTCGATTAGTAAATAAGTTAAACTGAAATGAATCTATTATTTTTACCTGTGTTATTCACCTATAATGCAATCTTTATGTTAGCAAAGCAATCTTCAACTCATAAGTCATCTCACTCATAAGTAGTTTTTGATATTTCTTTCTAGGTTTTGATTGTGACAGTGACAGTGTCCCATTTTAAGGAGACTCTTAAATTACTGGTGTCTGGGATTCTTCCCTGCATAAAAACCACTTCTTGATACTTGACCCATCATTAGGAGTATAGATAGAGTATACACATTTCCTTTAGAAGCAGTGTACACAGCTCAACTGCTCTCCCACTGAGTAAGGTTAACACCCAACTGAGACTAGTATATGGTAAGTTAGGACTATAAGTGTTATAAGAATTAGAACGATAAGTAAGAACAATACGTCATGTAGCTGTGGTGTGAAGTTTAGACTAAGGTTCTCCAGTCTTTATAGTACGAGCAAAGCTGTACATCAATGGCTTATTATTATTATATCCCCTTGGATCTAGCTTTGAGAAGGGGAGATCTTATTTTTGTTTATTTAGACTTTACTTAAATACAAAATATTTTCAAGTACATTGTACTCAAGGTTTTACAGCTTGGATTATCTCTGGCTAATGTTGATTTGATTTGAATGGCTGAGGCATGTGTACACTGTATATATACACGTTAAAAAAACTGTACTTTCTTTTCAGTTGGAGAGTCTTTTTTCTTCCCAGTGGAAATAAACTATTATATCACTATCAATACAGTTTAGAGTACTTACTAAGAAGTGTTTGAATTGGGAAGGTGTATAAGATAATTTCCTGCAGACAAAAATTAACTTTCACTTTTATTATCTATTATTCTAATCACTTTACAATCATAGAAAAACTCAATTACCGCTAAAAGTGATTACTTACAAATAAATAGTATTAGGAGATATAAAAAATGAAATATACAATGAATCTAAACTAATACTGATGGTACTTAAAAATGTCAACTAAAGTAAATTATTTACATGTTAAGCCTCTGGTAACACAATCACTGGTAGAGGTTCACAAAACTAACTGAAGATCACAAACAAATCAAATTAAATCATGCTTGTTTTCAAAAGTTTATTTGGCAAGTTTGTAAATTGCAGCTAAGTTTTTCCAAGTTACTGTTGTGATTGAAGCTCTTGGTTGGTTTTCATTTCTGCACTTTCAGGTCGTGCTGGAACAAACATGTTTCTAATTAAAATGACAATCATTAATTAGTTTGTACAAGTTGTATTTGTTTCGATAATGCTAAGTGTTCATTATCAAAGATTAAAATTAATTGAAGATAAGATGTGTCAACTAAAAAGAATATATATGTTATAGTTATTAGTAAATCAAAGTCCTATAACATATTTTTCTTTCACTGTTTTTATATTATCTGGCCTTTTCAAAAACTGTCTTATTCGGCTTTAAAAAGTTGAACCTCATTAGTACGAACCTCGGTAAAACAAATTTCTTGATAAGACGAATTTCTTTAAATCCCCTTGAAATTTTCATAAAGGTCAATGCTAAAAACACCTCTATACAATGTAGTAATTAGGTTAAAAACCTCCATAAGACAAATTTGTTTGTAACACAGGCTTGGCCTGATCAACCTCTACAAAACGAATACTCTTAGCACAAAACCTCTACAAGACGAATGTGACATATATAAGAAGAATTTCTCTTATCCTCCATATCTTAACCTCCATAGAGTATGTAGTTTTCAAAACAAAGAGAAGCTTGTCCCAACATGAAACCCCATCATTCCGCTTCCTTCCTTAGTCATTGCTTGGCACGACTCTGTTCAGAGGAGAAACCTCTATAAGATGAATAAGAGTAGTATTAAACCTTGATAAAACGAACCTCTTTATTAAGAATACCTCGATAGGACGAATATCCCCCCTACTCCTTGAAATTCGTCTTATAGAGGGTCGACTGTACAAAAATCATCATGCACATTTGAAAATACAATTTTAATTTAATTTAATTTATGTGAAAATGTTTATTAGAAACAAAAATATATGCAAGAAAATTAAAAGTGTTTTATGTTGTAGAAGAATGTAGGGATTGTGTAAGCCTGATTTTCCCTAGAAGAACTTTTAGTGCAACTTACTTGGGCAGGAGCCAGAGGAAAATCCAATGTCGTCTACAGCGAAACCGCCATTGGTTGCTTGGCCACCAAGAACAATTCGGAAGTCCGTGCTTGCATCCAACGTCACCTGAGCAGGCATCCATGTTGGCCTAGTGGTGTCCATATTCTTTGCCTCCAGGCTCCATACCTGTAAAAAATAAATAATCATGTTGAATCCATTTTGTTTTACTTAAAAAATAATGATAAAGTTATCTTCTGGAAAAATCATCCTGGTGCACGAAAAATATCATACAACTATCATTCATAAACAATATTGTTTTTAAATCGTCAGAATAACTTGGTCAACATAATTTTTAACTCTCAACAAACGTTATACCCAAGCCATTATCACAAGTATATACAAAAATCAAATATTTATTGGTGTGATATTTGATTAAGAAGATGTTCAGTGTATTTAGTTTGTTTTCTAACAATTTTTAAACAAGTCATAGGATGTTCTCACAATCATGAACTATCATAGTGTAATGAAGTCTAGACTGAATGAAATAGTCAGACTGAAGTCTGACTGAAACCTCCCCACTGAGCAACTGACTCACCATTATTAGAGCAGTAGTTTGTTTTCTATGTCACATATATGATCTAAAGATATATGCTATTGAAATAAAAAAATAAAATATCAAGGAGGTTTAATGTGCTATGTGCCATTTTTAAACATGATGATATTATAAAACATAATTATCTAGCATCAAGAAAAAGGAATACCTTTATCCACACATTACAAGAATACAGTAAGAGCCACATATAAAAACAAATCAAAGAGTTAAAAATAACAAGCATTACTTTTACTCATTATAACCTTATTTACCTTATCAAGCAACGCTTCTCCTGAGGAGTTATCTTGGCGAATAACTTGCAGAACCGCCGAGTCTCCTGCTCCAAACGCAGCATACCAGAATGAGAAACATAACTGAGTGTCGTCCCCTGAGGTTATAAGAGGGGACACTAGTTGTACCATGTTGCTGCCGAGAATCTGGTTGAAGAGATCGTAGTATATGTATCCATCTGTAAGAAAATTATTTTATGACACAATTTGAATAAAAAATGCTTCTTGAGTTTAAGATACGAGGTTGAACGAGAAGTTTGACCCTCCCTCAAAGAATGTTTTTAAGACAACAAGAGTTTACCGTTGTCTTTGCTATTTTAGTAAAGATGGCCCCTATCGGTTCAACAATCTCTCATTCAGGTTTACGGCAATCTGCATGCAATATACCCCCTTTTTTGTCACTGCCTTGAAAAAAAATATTGAAAAAATCAACTCCTGATGACCGATTACAGCCGGCCTATATACTAAACATTGTACACATTGGGCAAATGTGTACGACCACCTCCAAACTCCCTTCACCCTTATGCATATTTTCTGCTTTCCAACATTTTTCTCCATTCACGTAAACTCGTGATGGGCTTAAATAAAGGTTGACACCTTAAACCACAGAAATCTTATAACAGAACATGGAACTTGGAGCATTGATTTTATTTTCTCTCACATTGTTATCAGGCCCGTTTTTGACCATGTCAGCGCCCTAGGCACAACTTAAATAGTAGCGCCCCTTTGCAATATATACATGGTGACCACCAACCGGTAAATCCGGGAACTAAGCGTGATTTTTTTGAACCGGGAATTATGTGTGCATTTTGCATTTCTAACTGGAATTTTCAATTTACCGATGGCGCATGACAACAGTGACGTTTCCATGACCACGGTAGACGGGAGACGATAATATGTCTCCACAAGGCCGCGAGGGATGATCCGAACTTTGCCGTTATCGCTTGAGATGATGACAATGTCTACACGACCACGGGATATGATCATGCATGATTTTACTGCGATCGCGCGAGACGATGATAATGTCTAAACAACCGCGGGATATGATCATGATTTTACCGCGATCGCGCAATACGACAATCAGATCTACAGAGCCGCGAGGGATGTTCAAAACATTACCGCAATCACAGAAGGACGAAGATAATGTCCACACAACAGCGGAAAACAGTCAGAAATTTGCCACAATCGCGGAAGACGATAATGATCTCCACATAACTGCGGGATATTATTAACATTTTGCCGTAATCGCGGGAGACGATTACGATGTCTTCACGACTGCAGGAGACGATTACGATGTCTACAGGATCGCGGGAGTTACAATAATGATGTCTACTCTACACGGCTGCGAGGGATGATCAGAATTTTACCGCAATCGCTTAAGATGATGATAATGTCCACTCGACCACGGGAAAGATCAGAATTTTGCCTCATTCGCGAAAGACGATGATGATCTCCAAACAACTGCGGGAGATGATTACCATTTGCCGCAATGGCGGGAGAGGATGACAATGCCTCACGACTGCGGGAGACGATGATGTCTTCACGGCTGTGAGGGATTATCAGAATTTTATCGTGATCACACAAGAAGATGATAATGTCCACACGACCCCGGGAAAAGATTACAATTTTGCCTCATTCGCAGTAGACGGTGATAATCTCATCACGACCGCGGGATGTGTTCATATATTGCCGCAATCAAGGAAGACGATAACACAGAAAACATATGATAATTATATCCACACATCCGCTGGAAATAGTCAGAACTTTGCCGCGATCGCGGGAGACGGACGATGATGACGTATATACAACCGCAGAAAATAATTAACATCTTGCCGCAATTGTGGGTGACTGTTAAGGTGTCTACACGGCCGCAAGGGATTATCAGTTTACCGCGATCGCATGCAAAAACGGCCACAATTTTCTTTCTTTTTCCTATATTTTTGGCGCCCCCCAAAAATGCCAATTGCCTCGCGCCCTAGGCACGTGCCTACCTTGCCTATTCGGTAAATCGGCCCTGATTGTTATTGGCTACTTATGAAGAGACTAAACGCCACATATAGAGATGGACCTGCTGGAATAGCAGTGGATATTGTAAGGAAATCGATGCTTGTGTCAGATTGAACTAGCTTGCTTGGCCATGATGTGAGCTTATTGAATACTTTAATTTATAAACAACCTTTATAAGAAAAAGCTTTTTATGAACTTGACAAAGCTTTGAAACAATTTGGGCATTGTGAATTGAACTGATGATATATTACAAGACTGGTTTAATGCACTACACACTGGCTAATAGTAAAAAAAAAAAACATGAATACGTTGGTAATTTTACAGTTTTACAGGGATTGTTAATATTTATATGATGAGTCAAGTTACCAGGTGCTCCAAAGGTCTTGTCAGGAAGGTTTGCTGGTCGTCGTGTAACTGTGGCAAGTCTCCAAGATGACGCCATCTTGTCTGTTCCGTTGCTCCATCCGCACATGTCTCGCTCAAACCTGCACTCTCCTGGCCTCACTACTGCTCCTCCTGGGATTGCTACCGAACCAAACATACAAATTGTAGCATATTACTTCCAACTTGAATTATATGCGTTTTTTGCAGTACCAGTATAAGAATAATTTGAAACCTTCATTAAGAGCATGTAAATTGTTTTTTTCAAATCCACTGATTTTTTTACTTCTTAATTAGAGAGTATTACCTACTTGTGGGGAATTTATTTTGCATCTTTAGTGCTTGGCTAAAATTAGTTGCATAATTTTCATAAATCACTATTTTAAGTGGGCACACAGATGGGATAGTAGGTATTTTAACCCAAGTCTGAAATATGATTGTGGGATGGGTAGGATTCATTGGGTAAATTTGATACTAACTAAGTTAAGATGTTTTTTTAGCCAAGGACTTTTACTAAAAGTTTACGATCAAAGATATCTGGTCCAATGTTTTAACTATAAAAATACTATAAATATTATACAGTGTTATAACTTAGAACATACTACACTGTTTTCTCCTATTGAAACAGAAAATATTACTTTTAAAACACAGGTACAGATATTACTCTATAACTGTTCCATGATGGAATGGTCTCTGGATTTTCTGAATAAAGTGAAGACAAAGTTTTAAACTTTCGCTGCAAGTTGTATTTGTATAGTACAAAACTTCTAACAAACTCCACCGTGAGGAATATTTAAACACATGCTGACATTCTGACCTGATGATGTGCTCCATCTGCAGCACAACGCAGCTGTAGTCTTTGTAAACTACCAAGGATCGTTTTGTACTAACATGTTACCAGATAATTTAAACCTATATAACTGTTTCATAAAACCATTGCATTAACATAGTTAAGACTTAAAAACTTTGTCACATATTTTTGATACGAACTTTAGATATACTTACTTGAACAAGCTCCACCGAAAAATGTTATGTCATCAAATGCGATGAACCCATTGGCTCGACTTGATCCCCAGATACCTTCAATTATAATCTGAAATAAAAAATAAAAAAATAAGATTGCAAAAATTACTGTGGGTTAACAATTATTGTACACAATCTTAAAAGAAACAAAAGGTTTTTGATTATTTGTGACCAAAATTAAAAGAAAATCAATGAAGCATATCAAAGAGTTTAAAAACAATTCAAACTATGACATTTATGTCATTTATGACATTTATGAGTGTATTGATATAATGCTTACCATGTCATTTGGCTCCTGTATAAGAGCCTGAGCATATTGCCACTCTGGTCCCTGGTGGTTGTATAGTCTCCATACAGGCTTCATGTCCTTAGAGCCATCCATTGGCTTGGCATACACTGACAGGGCTCCTAGGCTAGGTCCTGCGTTGTCTATGAAAGGTTCATTCATCAGGTACCTGGACAGTAAACATAAAGGTCTGAGGGAAAATAAACTAATTAAAATACATTATTAAATTTTGAAAACCCTTTGATTCACTATATATTAAAACTTAAAACGCTCCACTGTCAATATCATATAAAATAAACGGTATCACCAATCTGACACATACTTTCTACCGTTTGCTCGTCAAAAACCTTTATCATGAGTAAGCGATGGGAGTATCTATGATATTTATAGGGAAAATCGCAAAAGTTGCAATAGCTTATGAACCGTAATTTTTACAGCAATGGGGTGTTACACTATTTTGTAAAAATTATTAGGACCATAAGAGACAAATTTCAATCAGAGCGCACTTTTATTTTTGAAGAATTTATCTATTTTTAAGTTTTTTCATGTGTTTTATGGGAAAATAGCATAAGTTACAATAACCTTTGAACCATAATTTCTACAGGAATGAGAATTAAACCATTTTGTTCAGACTTTAAAGGGCTTTAATATACTAAATGTTTGCCCAAATCGTTCAGGCCATTTTTGAGAAAAATATATTTTCTGTTATTTTATGGGCTTTTATGGGAAAATCAACATTAAAATTTATATTTTAAAAAATGAAAAAAACCACTGGAGATACCATGGGTTAGTACTGTACCTACATACCTAGTTTCATCAAAATCTAACCACAGGTGTGGTCTGTAGCGCTGTACACATCCACACATACACACACAGACACACATCTCTTCAAAAACCACTTTTTTCGGTTCAGGGGAGCCCAAAACAGATATAACCACTCTAACCTCGAGCTAAAAAATGTTGACGAAAACAATACTTTCTTCACATACTTTTATAGGGGGAGAAAGTAAACATGTAGAAGAAAACTTACATAATCATTGACATATAACACTGAAGCCAGGCCCTCAGTTTGATGTGATGCGCTATGACCCCTCTACCTTGTGGGGTAATTTTCCCTACCTTGCAACACCAAAAAACCTAAACCTAAACCCTCTTGCCCCCTGGCCTACCATGCCCATTTATTTTAACGGCCCTGATTGAAGCACAAATAATAAACTACAACTCCAATAAAACACAGCTAACTTATATCAACCAACCAATTTTATGATACCTGAGAACTGTTCTATGTTTTCACATGTTAGTTAGCATATTGATTTGTGTCCAGTAACTCTACTACTCATATATGGTTGTGATACTACACAGTAAATTATGCAGTGCTGTGAGTTGAATGTTTCAAAAACATAGGTATTTGCAAATATTTACGGTTTTTGTGCAATCTTGTATAAAAAATAATATGATTTCTGTGTTATGCAGCTAGGGTGCGGCAAAAAAACCGATCTATTTTTCGCAGCACACTGTTCATCGACAGGTCATCTGAGGGTGATGGGAGCAGGTTTGTTGGAAAGCCTACACTATGCCATTTTCTGTAGTCTTAGAGCAGTGGTAACCTGAGCAACACGGGTACGTTATCGAGTAGTTAAAAAAAGTAATGATTCAGTCATTGCAACTCATCGGCATTTCCATGCATTCTTTAATTTAGTTCGACATGGAGAGGTTCTGGTGTGATTATCTTTATGGATAATCAACCAAATTGAACAGATTAATACAAATTAATCTGTAGGGATAAGAATTAAGATCGAGCTTCAAAATTAGTTTAACCGAGCGGCCAGGCATGTTCAAAGCGAATGTTTGTTTTTGTGGGGGCCTACGAGGACTGTTTTCCACAGCAGCACGGACTCTATCGAATGTTAGTCTGACGTCCTATCTGACTTTGGACGGCTTCTAAGCTTCTTTTTGAACGCAGAAGCCATTGTTCTAAAGTTGGTAACCCACCACATGATTGTGTTACTTGACGGAATCAACGTCGCCCTAATAAAAAAAAAGGAACGGAACTGCCGCTAAGCTAAGACTCGATAACAAACGCACGATGCTCAGGTGACCACTGCTCAGGTTACCACAGATAATGGCATCATATAGGCTTTCCAATGAGCCTAACCCCACCACTCTCAGACAACTTGTTGCTGAACAGTGCGCTACATAAATAGATAGGTTTTTTTGCCGCACCCTGTATAATCTTCACATTGTTGTTGAGCATTTGTTATAAGCCAGAAGTAAGCCCATCAATCTGCCCTAAAAGGTAATACTGTATTAAAAAACATTAGGTTTGGATTTTAAATTGCGGATTACCAGAAGGAGAGACATTTTGGTCCTGTGAGGCCTTCAGTCTTGAGGTCTCTAGATGTGAACCAAGCTCTACTGCCAGGTCTTTGGACAGTGCTACGAGCCAGGGTCATCAGGTACCCTGCACAATTAAAATAACATAATGCTGGTAATTTACTGTGCACACATCACATATGTTATTAGACTGCTTGATTGTACCCGTATGTTTGTAAGAGTTTAGCGTGAATTTAATTAAAGTTGTGAAACACACTACAGAATGTTTTCAACTGGCAAAGTGAAGTAAAAACCAGGGTTGAATAGCTAAAATAAGCATAACCAAATAAAAGCTATACTAGGACCTCAATAACTCGAACCTTGATATCAAAAGTTAATTAATATGTCAAATTTATCATAATCTCCTTGAAATCACAATGTTAAAAGTACCTTTATTAGTTTTATATCTAATAACATACAGACTAAGTGCAAACCGACTTTAACCAAGGCCCTCTCTTGCTCCCTTGTTGATTGTTGGTTTGTACTACCTTGATAAGTCAAATTTTACTCTTTTGTCATCTAAATTATTGTGGCTTAACCTCAATTACTCAAAAATTCTCTTCCTATTTACAAGAGACTTTATTTTTTGTAAATACAGTATAGTACTGTATAATGATAAGAACATAACTTAAGAAAACCCCTTAAGATGTCACACAAGCTGGTGAAATGCAGGGTGACACAAACATCTTACCAACTCAAGAGCTACAGATAACAAAGGTAATCTAATATATTTCATGTTCTGAAACGGGGATGGAGAAAAAAACATATAATTTATCATACAAAAGTACATAATTGAATGAGTTACTCACATAGTGGGCCACAGTCTAAAAGTTCATTTTCTAAATGTTGGTATATTTTACATCAGAATACCCTGACAGTGGCTAAATTCAACTATTTTAATTTTTATTCCAAAACTGCATATGAAAATAGAATGTCAAGTGCTATCCATAGTAAAAAATTTCAGCTGCGGGTGTTGTTTTTATAGCTACCGGTATGAACATTTTTTATAATTTTAGGTAAACATTTACCAGTAAGAATTTGGAAATTTAGACGAGTTACCTTTCTCAGTTCCCAAAGTGTGGTCTATGGTTGCCGTGCGCAAGGATTGACCGGAGGTTCGCTCCCAGTCTATGTCATCCACTCGTTCACGGGAGCCCACATTAGACCAACCACATTCATCCACTTCAAAAGTACAATCACCTGATCCTGGAGCCGCTACTTGTGGAGCAGCTGAAAACAAGAATTTTCTACCAGTTCAGAACATAAAAAAAATAATTATGTGCTATTCAGATTCTGAGGCTGGGTTATCGTAAAAAGGTTGAAATACCTGGTACTGCCTTGTGATTCCATTGCTCCTCAGACGGACAAAATCTAGTTTTGTTCTGATGGTTTCCAATAGAAAATGTTACAAACTCCAAGTCCTTATTTATTAAAATTTGTTTGGAAAAATAAAATATATAAGTGAGTAAAATCCTTGTAAATTCACCTTCTTAATGAACTGAAATTGATATTTTAAAGGATATCAATAATATTGTGCAAATTTACTTTCTTTGAAACAACAGAATATCTACTTACTGGGACAACTGCCAGGAGTTAGTGAAATATCATCCACAGCAATGTCACCAAGGTTATTTTTCCCAATTTTACCAACCAACACAATCTGCAACAAACCAATTTGTTAGTTTTCTAACTAAAATAATGATCTAATTAAAATAATTTTCAGAAAATATAATATAAAGAATTTGTGTGAGGCCTGAGTTGCTTCCTCTACAGGGTATTCATCCCTAATTAATAAGATATCAACACAATTTAATAAAAACATAAGAGGTTACTTAGTTTGAGCATAAATGTATAGGCCCCCTACTTATCTGTAGCTAAATGGGTTTGTGTATTTTAAGTCTTATTAAATCAAGCTCTTTCTTCTTAAATCATTCACCAACTACTATCCGTTTGGTTTGTCCATTATTGGTTACAGCATGGACAAAATTATATTCGGGAATATAATTGTCTTCCTCATGGATGAGCTTAAGTGAGTTTAAATGCACCTAAGTGTATATCAAGTCCATGTAGAGTGTGTTTTGATGTTTGACTCCCGTAAGAACAAAATAGAGGAAAGATAGGAAAGTAGAACCCTCACTAAACCAAAAACTGTTGGGCTGGTAAAAAAAAGAAGTTCCAAAATAAATTTGACTTTGCATGTATTAAAATATAACATCAAAATAAATCAATACAAAAATACATTTTGTGGGACTTACCTTGAAAGTGTTGGCTGAAGACACAGGTACCTCAGCCTGATACCAGGCATTGCCAGCCTCCCCTGATAGACTCCATATCTGCTGCTCCGTACTGTCTCTTGTGTCTTGTAGATGGATGCTGAGAGTTCCTACTCCATTCCCATACATGTGTGTCCAGAACCGCATACACAATGGCATGTCAGCCCCTAGACAAGGTTATAGAGTTTGTATGAATGAAATTTAATAGATTGCCTTATATTAAATGATAGCAGAGGATTGGATCTTTAGCCCTTCAAATTTGTTAGAAATATAAACTTTTTGAATTCACTAATAGTGTAAATATTGATTATATTATGAGTAATTCTTTTAGATTTTTCAACACTTTTGGTTTGTTAAGGAGTAAGTGTTTAAATTATTAAAGGATTGTTATAGATTTGGGAATAGTCAAATGAGCTGGCTAAGTGCCCAATACTATCAGGCTATGTTGCCTGATCATATAAAAAGAAAAATACTACATTCATCCACATTGTACAAAAAGATATAGGTTTTTATTTTACAATTTGTTTCTGTGACTCAAATCATTAAATAAACAAGTCAAGTACATACATATTGTAATATTTCTACCTGTAGGTTCAAACTCCATACTAGAGAGCCGAGCTACATCGCCAGGTCTGCGAGGGTAGGAAGAGTCGATGAAGGCGTAACCTCCCTCCATACCTCCGTAGATGAAGCTGGAGCGATCTGTGGCCGGTCCAGTGGAGGGGTTACGGCTCCCACGCCCCTGGTAATGCATATGATTTATTGTTCTAAAAAATATAACTCATCCCATTCCAATAGTCCTTATTTGTATTTTATAAACCCATTAAATTGAAATATTGCCTAATTTATGTACATAAGAGACAAATATATGTATAAATATAAATATATATATAGTAAATACGGTACTTACGTATTATACGGAGGCCACCCTTACACAACGCGCTGCGGCGGTTAGGTTTGGTCATCATGAAGCTTTTATGACTTGTCTGGTTCGATTCATAACGAAAGTAGGAAAGTCCTACAAACATATTTATAATAGACCAACCTAACCTAACCGCCGCAGCGCGCTGTAAAATAAGTGGCCTCCGTATAATACGTAAGTACCGTAAATACATAAGAGAGACAAATACAAATAAAGGTGATAAGAGAGAAAATAAAATCTAAATAAAAGATTGTTGAGCTTCCCAATTTCTTAACTCTTTGAGCTTCAACTAGCTGAAAGTTATATCTGACAAGGGCTGCAGCCTAGGAACCAAGCTTAGAACTACTACGCTTGAGTTTTTAGTTGACCACCGTTTTTTTTTTTTTTTGAGGATTTTAAGATGCATCTACGCACACTGAGATGTTCAATGGCCTCTCAGTAGTTCCAGACTCCCGCAGGCTCAATTTCCCGGACTACCAGCTAAAAATTCCCCTCATCTCCTAGGACACTAGCCTGGAACTGTTAGCACATTACTTCGGGCTAGGCATTTTAAACTACGCCACTAGGGCTTACCTTCTAGTTTCCTCACAAAACTAAGGCCGATCAAGATCGACCTTCTTATTCCGAAGTAGGGCCTCAATGAACTGCTTTACACAGTTCCAGGTTCCCTCCCCCTGGAGCATACCTCCAACAGTAATGTCGGCGCCGATCTCAGTGATCGAGAGGGCTTGGCGGACATGCCACCTGTCACAAAAGAAGAAGGTGTGCTCGGCCGTGTCTGCAATGCCAGGACAGTACAGACAGTCCGGGCTGGCGGCCTTCAGCATTCGGTGCAAAAAGGCCCGGAAGTACCCGTGACCAGACAAAAACTGGGTTACGAAATACCCAACCTCACCATGCTCCCGTTCCACCCATGGTCAGATGCTAGGAATGAGCCTGGCGGTCCAACGTCCCCAAGACTCGGTCTCCCATTCCCTCTGCCAGCGATCAAAACTGCGGTCGCGTTCTTCTCTGGCAGCAGTCTCCCTATCTACTTCAGGTCTCCTGCGGTAGATTATCTGTTGCTCTCTCGCGAGACGGAAGACGGGGATGACACTGGTAATCACCATGACTTCAGGCTCGGAGACCATAAGGTAGGCAGAAGCAACTCGCAAGGACCCTCGAAGCTGAGCACAGGAGAGCCTGTCACAGAAGACACGCCTCTCCAGCACATGGGCTCAGACCTCAGCGCCGTACAAGAGTACTGATTGGACAGCAGACATCAGTAGGCGGCGCTTGCAGGAGTGGAGTCTGCCGACGTTTGGCATAAGCCTACTAAGGACAGCCTTAGTAGGCATGTGATCCCTTAGCGGCTTTGTCAACAGTTTGATTAATCTGCTCCCCGAAAGACATTTTGCTGTCAATCATAACACCAAGGTATTTGGCATACAGTTTGGTCTCCAATCGTGCATAGCCTACTTGCACAGGAAGGACGGTGGGAATTCTATTCTTGGTTAGGACCACGATCTCCGTCTTTTCGACCGCCAGCAACAAGCCGTGGTTCTGCATCCACTCGTTGACACGGAGCATTACTACACCAAGTTTAAGCTCTGCTTCTTCGACGCATCTGCCTGCAACCAGAGCAGTGACGTCGTCGGCATAGCCAACGAGGTGGGTCTCGTCTGGCATTTCGAGTCTTAGCAGACTGTCGTAAGACATGTTCCAGAGATCAGGTCCAAGGATCGATCCCTGTGCAGCCCCAGAAGTGACAGAGATCCGGCGCTGACCTTCGGTGGTGTCAAAAAGCAAGACACAGTTCGAAAGGTAGGACTCAATCATTCGCAGGATGTAAAGAGGAATGTGTGCTCAAGCGCCTGTAGCATATCACCCCACCTGGCGGAGTTGAATGCGTTCTTCACGCCAAGAGTGACGAGGAGAACTAAGCGGTGCAACCAATGACTGTAGTTCTCCGCACTCTGCACTGACTCAACTACCTCTTGGATGGCGTCAATGCTCGAGTGACCAGAACGAAAACCATGCTGCTGCGGGGACAAATCACCCGCAGAGACGATAGCCTCGGTCAGTCTGACACGAATTAACTTCTCCATCACTTTGCCGACGGTGTCAAGCATACACAGTGGGCGGAAAGAAGAGGGGATTCCTGGTGCACTCTTCGCCTTGGGGATCAGTACAAGGCGAGCCACCTTCCACGCCGTCGGGAAAATGCCGTCTACCAAACAGGCGTTGAAACTATCCAACAGTAGCTTTGGATTGTACTCAACAACGAGCTTGAGGATTTCCACAGGAATGCCATCAGGACCGGGTGCTCTTTGATTTCTCAGGGATCAGACAGCGAAGGTAAGTTCCTCTTCCGGAAAGGCTGGGAACTCGTCAATATCCCAGAATTCTCTAGTTGGTCGCGCTGGGTGCTTTGGAAACAACGAGTCGACGACAGCAGCCATGGCAGCAAGCTCCATGACCAAAGGTGCAGGTGAACGAGTCCCTAGCTTTTGGGTTACTATCTTGTAGCCCATCCCCCAGGGGTTGTTGCCGATGTCCTGACACAGTTGCTTGCAGCACCTTACCTTACTCCGGTTGATTGCACCACGGAGATCTCGCCTGGTGGCATTGTGCTCTGCCGATCTGGCATTGGCTTCAGGCCGGTTTCTGGCACGATGCCCTGCTCGTCAGGAGGCTAAGGCATTTTCTCCGGAGTTCTGCAATCTCAGGTGTCCACCAGTAAACTAATGGCTTCTTCCTGCGGTGGGCGGAAATCCTGGGCATGGAACAGTCACACGCCGAAGAAATGAGAAGTATCGTCGATGTGGCATGAAATACGGCACTTCCAATGTCCCCAATGGTTTGATCCCCGATACATCCCCAAAAGATGTCTCGGGAAAGACAACTGAGGTTCCAACATTGAGATGGATGGGCAGAGTTGGCATATGGACGCCTGAGCTCAGGAAGTAACCTGAAAACAATTGCCTTCGGACACTCGCCAGTTAATGATCCTATTAGATAGGCCTTCAGATGCCAGAGATATGTCAGGAATCGTCTCTCCATATCCTTGGCGACCCAAAGTGGAGACGTTTCCTGTGTTTAGGATATGAGGACCCAGCCTGCCATCTCTAAAACACATCGTCCTCTTGTGTTTGTTTGGAGTAAACTCCATTCCACCACCCTAGCTTTGAAATCTCCGCATACGTATTTTGCGGAAACCCAAAAAACCCCACCATCGACGTTTAGGATCTCATCCTCTAGAGAATCGACAATCTGGTGGTACTCTGCAATGGGCTGGTTGGGTGTAAGGTAGCAGAAGAAGAAAGTTAGACCTCTGCTCCGCACCCACACAAAACCGTTTCCCGCACCGGAATCCAAGATCGGTACCTTCCCGGGGTCAAGGACCCAGATGGCTACCATCCCAGAAACATAAGGGAACCACTGAGGAGAGCGTCGGTTCTGATATTGCTCACTTGAAGGGCACATTCATTTCTGGGTGGATTAGCGGACCTTCAGCAGTGCTTGCTTATAGCAGCACAACGGTTTGATCCCGGAGCGTGCTTGATGGTGTCGTTCTTCAAGCCGGCCTCTGTGCAAAGGACACAAGATTCAGTGGGGCTGCAAACACTGACCCTGTGATCTTGACCACCGCACTTGATGTTGCTTCTGTGGTGACCTTTGCAACGATTGGCTATGTGGTTGAACCCCAGGCATTTGTAACACCTGGGGGCTACGAGCTTCTCGCGGATTCGGCACCTCACCCATCCGACCTTTATGAGCCCTTCAGCTATAGGAGTTTTCTCTCATCTCTAGCTCCCAACGTCAATTTTGCCATCTTTTGCCCTCAAGAGTTGGCCTTGACAAAGTGACAAAGATCTTCATCTCAGTGAATTCCCCGAGGACAGACTTGACTGCAGAGACCTCGTCCTCAGTCGTGAGTTCGTCTAGGTCCCTCAATTCCAACGTCAACTTTCGCTTGAGAATTGAGTTGACCAGCGTTGCTAGTGGAAGACAGTTGAGTGTTTGATGAATGGAGACAGCATGGTGGATTGAGGGTTCAAATCCTGTCACTATCCAAACTGGCACATGAGGAGGTCACGTGTCTAAGGTAGAGAGAGCTAGTGGGAAAGGTCCACCTAAGATAAATGGTGGATGGTTCAGTTGGATGTTGATGGGATGGGTGGATCCTTTTTGTGGTGCAACTAAATTCAGGCATTTTGCTATGCTATGCTGTTCTTGTCTTTAACTATGACATAGCCCACTGGAAACTTGTGTTTCAATTATTTGGGTTTTTATGTTCATAAGAGGAGAGGAAAAAAGTTAAAAATAGACGCATAGTTTATTTAATGAATAATCCATGGTGTTCAAATGAATAAACATCAGCACTTACCAAAGACCAGTCAAAGTCGTCATTGGCATCGTTGGTCCAGCCGCAGAAGCCCCCTTCAAATGTACAGTGGCCCTTGCACTCCGACCCAGGCTTAAGCATGATGCTGTCCACGGCTACGTAGCCTCGATACTTGCGGTAAGGATCCGGCAGTTCCTTGGCCACTCCTTCAAACACTATCTGTAACCAGCCCAATGTAAATAGTACAATTTGTGCTGTTTCCTACTAGGGATTCATTCAAATATTGTTATATTTACTTTATTTTTATGTTGTCTATTGATTTAGCCAGTTATTGATTTCTTGAATTTGATGGATTGGAATTGAAGAAGAAACTATGAACCCTCCCCTAAATCCTCCTCCATCCCTTTGACTCTGATAATTTCATATTTAGTAGTTCTCTATTTCATAAATGGGCAAGTATTGGATAGGAATAAAGTGTAATAACAGAATAAATACAGAGTTACTCTCTCTCCCACTTTATTCTGGGCAATAACCATATAGTACAGTGTCTAAGTCAAGCTGAAAACATTGCTTCTTCAACTGTTTCTACTTGTCCCTCGAGCGAGATAAGCCATGTGCCAAAACATCATTGCCTGGTAAAACACCTATTTAATTATTTTTGTTTTAGTTTTTATTGAATTTGAATGTCTAATATGAAAAACATCATTTTCAGAAAATTAAAAGTACAGGCATATTTTAAATTCTAATTTGAGTGGGAGATTTAAGTGCCTTGTTTCCAATGTATGGATAGGTAATTTTGGGTGAAATAGTAATTTTTATCCTAAATCAAATTGAATAGGTAGTTTATGTGGGGATGAAATTAAATGAGGGTTTGGAAGGAGTTATGACCTCAATGATCTAATTTAAAAAATTAGATAAAAAGGTGTTACATTAAAAGGAAAATTTGTTTAAAGTGTAATGTTAAAAATGTCACCATATGCCTTGAATATTACTATTTCAACTTCAAGATCCATTATCAAGTATAATACCTGGTGGTCCTTGTTGTAAGTGTACAAGACTTCAGACTTCATCCACATGTGGTTGGTAGGGTCCTTGGTGCCCCAAAGAACCCGAAGGTACCCATCAGGCTTCCCATCCTTGTTTACTGGCTGCAAGATAATCCGCAGCCCCGAAGCACTCAAACCATCTATGGCAAAACTGAATGGTATTCAATAAATAGCTTGCAATATGCTTCAACTAAAATGTTACACAACTATTTTAAACTGCAATGATTGTTGTAATGAGGATTGTTAGGGTTGTTTCACTAATTATGGGAAGTAAGTAAGTTGTTAAGCAGACATGGCGTGTTTTAGAAAAATATATGACTGTACTAAAGATAAAGTAATTGAATACCCCCATACATACTACCAACCACACTCCAAATATTCAAGAATGATATGTAGTATGATCATCAAAGAAGAAACCCTACCACCGCTTACATGGAAAATGGCCAGAGTTAAACACTTGCTACCTGGTAAAGATGGAATCGTCCGAGTTGCAAGATTACAAACCAGTCAAGGAGAAGTTATTCGACCTGTAATAAGACTATGTCTTCTACCAACAAATTAAATGAGAAGAAAAATAATTTTTGGCTGGCGGTACGTTTGATACTCTTTCCCATACTCCCATAATTACTTGTTTCCTCCATGTTGACATTTGCATTTGGAATGGTTTTAATTAACATCTGTTCTATTCATTGTTTTCTTAATATACACAATTTTGCAGTCCACTAAAGCTCTTACAAATTTTTTATTAGAAGTTATATTTTATTGCAACGCAAGGCAGTTATCTAACAGAGTTTGTTTGATTTGTCAGTAGTTTTTATTGGTGTAGTCAAATAGTACGATAAATTAGGAGTACATTGTTATTGTCACTCTGTTTTTTTTTCAATAAGTCTTCTAGCTTTAAAGTATTACTTTTTTTTTGAAAAAAGTAGTTAAGTAACTATGAGAAACCTTCTTTATAATTTTTAAAATCTGTTGTTAGTGTCATTGGAACTTTCTAAATGATCACAATGTTTTGAATTAGTTGTCATATTTTTTTGGTAATTCTGTAACAATAGTGGCAAGAGGATATTTAGTAGGCTATAGTTATATAGTAATATGATCAAGAAGTTATTTAGCATTAGTACGGCTAAAACAGTTTTTCCAAACAAAAATTTAAAGCAATAAACAAGTTTGTTATTATTTCCTTGGGTCATCCATGGATAGATGAGTATATTAACATTGCTTAAGTTTTGTAACATTTTCTAGTCTAAAGCATTGTTTCCTGTGTCTCACCTAAAGCCAACACACTTTCCTTCAGCCCCTGTTGTGCTCAGTATTGGACTCTCGATGAAAGCATTCTGGCCTTCTCGGATAGTGATGTCATCCACACGTAGGACAGGGGCCGCTAACAGAGATGTCTCAAAGAATATGTACCCTCCTGAAATACATTTAGAATTTGATATAATGTACTCAGAAGCTTTAAGACTAAAATACATTTTTCTGTACTTTGTAAGAAATGGGATTATTAAACCCTGTACCGACGTTGATCATCTATGCAGACACTCTGTTCACATTACACTTAGTCGACCAGTTGGTGTGAACAGAGTTGATTAGTAGCATGAGCATCGATTTTCAAATACCTTTCCCAACTGACGTGAGCTAGGCGATGACTGGTAGGGCCGACTTTTGAGAAACAACTATAAGCCACACACCTTATCGGTAATCAGCCAATGAGAAGTCTAATGAAGAAGATGGAGGAGTGACGAGTCATGGAGTTGTAGGACCTGGGAGGAAAAATCGAGGGATTGCCATGGGCTGAAACGAAGATCGGAGTGTGTGTGTCTGTGGGTGTGTGTGCTTCAAGGGACCATTGGCAGTATGTAAAAATAAAATTAAATTCATAAAGATGTAAAAAAACCAAGTCATATAATTTGTTATTAACTCAATCTTTTATTTTTTTCTACTTATTCTCGTAACTTAATCTGTAAATCTTTTTCTTACTATTGTTGCTCTTTGTTTTTTTCTAAGCTCTTATTTGGTGCTGTCACACTTTGTAACTTCTTTTGTTTTCTAAATTTATTTGTTTTATTACACATTTAGTCACACCTGTAGTAGTCTTATGTCTCTTACACCCTTTCACCTCTCTAGAACAGCTAAGCGAGTGTAATTTTAGAGAGACTTGATTTTAAGAGAGACATGGGACTCACTACTTAGAAAAACCTTTTGTTTACTCTCTGAATATGTTTGTGATTAGCAGGAAAATAATTTTCTTCAACATCTTTTAAAGCTAGTTATTTAAAAAAAAAAGAAAATGTTTAAAAAACTTAATTAAAGTTATATAAAATCTCTTTTATGCTTTGTTGAGTTTAAAAAAGCACTGGCTACAATATAAGGATGACAAATTTAACTTACATTAGTGAAATAAAATAGCCTGAGTAAAACATTTGTGACGCATAGCAGCATGCTATACTTTATATAGTGTAAGCATTTCGCAAAGCCGGGCTGCATGACCATCTTGTTGCCTGCCGCGAGTGCTTTAACGCTCTCTCCCCACCATCCTACTCTTGTCTCCTCCTTGCTCGACCATCCTTCACCGAAGATAGAAGTACCCTTTTTACCGGCCTGCTGCATCACTAAATGGATGAGTTATTTGACTATATTTATTTAAATATAAGTAGAAATAATGTCTGTCTAAGTCAGGAAACAAGCGGGGAGCCCTTCTGGCTCACCCGACTATTGAATTGAGGTAAATTAACTCTTAGCTGAGATGGCTGTCTTCCGCAGCCATCCTTATCAAACCTGAAAATTGCAGTCACATGTTCCCAGAATGTAACTTATTAGTTATCAATCAAATTCTTACATATTTCACATTCAGTATTCACTTAACATATTATTTCATTCACTCTGCAATATTTCTAAGTAATTATCCATGTTCAGTTCATAGTTAAATAGTTAGTTAAGTTAGTTTAAATCAAAGCTGGCTAGGCAGGTGTTCTGATTTGGGTAAAGATCTCCGTCCCTCTGGTCTCCAGCAATCTTCCTAATTTTATTGGTAGTAGATTCAAGTTTGGTCCAGACATAGCAATTCCAACCCTATTAGCATTACCCTGTTATTCCCTCCGATTTCCCAAATTCCCACCAATATCCCATAACCGCCATATATCGCCCCCGAACCCGCAATAGCAAACATAAGTCTCCCTCTTTCCTTCTCCCTCCCCCCCCCCCCCCGGCTACATATGGTTCATTATAGCTACACATTCTGATTTTGAAATATCATATTCTGTTGAGGGTAATGAAGGTGGGCCTCTTTCCAAGAAATATTTGCATCCTATCAGAGTTCCTTTCAAGGTCAGGATAGCTTCTTGATATTGGACCAAATGATTAGTCTAGTGGATGTGGAGATCAGTCTCAAACTATGGAACGCATCAGTGGCGTAACTATGGGGAATGGGAGGAAAGGGGGATAGAACCCCCCCCCCCCCCCAGAACCCGAAAATGAAAATAAATATTTGTATCACAGCAATCCTACTTTAAAATACAGTTGCTCAAGTTGAGTGAAGTTTAAAACTGAAACTGATGATTTATTTTTGATTTGGTTTTATTAATATAATTCATTAAAATTATTAGCTAGTTGATTTGTATGGTAAACTAATTTTAAAGGTCTATTTAATTAATACACCCAGGCAGCGGGAGTAAATTTGGAGAGTGGGAGTGGTAACACAGCAAGTATGCGCTGTAAGCACTAAGCAGACGCCAGATGGCTTTTAGATGTTAGTTACTAGTGACGGAAAAAATTCTCAAAACATCCATGTTATAGTGTGTATTCTGAAATACATTAATGTTATTTAGTGAAATGTTGTGTATTATTATCCGGTATGGTGTCAGGACCGTCAGGAGGGAATTTCAGCCAAATCTAAAACTTCGAGGAACTGTAATAAGTTACGAATCACGCAGACGACCGGTAAAAAACAATCATGCTTGTTTACCGATAGTGGTATTTCTTAATGAAGAAATACTATTTCCTGAATCTGATCGGCAGGAGACAGCCTCTTGACTTGACTTGACTCATTTCCTGTCGCTCCTTAGTGGGAGTATAGGGCATCGAGAAGAGCTCACCATACATCTATGTCCTGCGCCAGATCCCTCAGCTGACCCCAGGTCTGCCAGACACTCAAAGCTTCCTTTGTTATTGTTCTTCTCCAAGTGTCACAGGGTCTTCCCCTCTTTCTCATCCCTTGGGTATTCCATTCCAGGGTCTTCTTTTCAATTGATTCATCCGTCTTCCGGAGAGTGTGACCCAGCCACCTCCACTTCCGTCTTCTGATTTCCAGACTGATCTTTTGTTGCCCCTTTGCCACCCAAAGCTGTTCATTTAAAATAGTGTTTGGCCAGATCACTCTCATTATACGTCTAAGACACCTGTTTACAAACACCTGGAGTTGAGAAGTACCACTCTGATCCATTTTCCAATTTTCCGAAATTATTTATATTTCGCCATATTGGGTAAAGCTGAATAAATGCTGCATTAGCTTTCCCAATGCGGCTCCTAACATCTTCCTTGGCTCCTATATCTGCTGTGACTTTGCTTCCGAGGTATAGGAAAGAGTTAACCTCTTCAATCACCTTCCCGTTTAATTCTAAGGCTTGGGCTACTCTGGAATTAAACTTCATTTCCTTTATCTTATTCACGTTTATCTTAGGACTCACCTCTTCAGCCTTTCTTTGTAGAGAACTTAATTCCGCCTGGAGATCGGTGTACCTCTGAGCAATCAAGCAAAGGTCGTCAGCAAAGTCAAGGTCCTCCAGCCGCTCCCTCAGTCCCCACTACACTCCCCACCTTCTATTATTTGTTACCCTCCTCATAACTGAGTTCAGCTCAGCACCAAAAGGAACAGTATTATAGTGATAAAATGAGCCCTGGCGAACACCTATTTTAACTGGGATTGCTCCAGTCAACTTTCCCTGATGCGAAATCTGACATTGGAAACCACTGTACATGTCTTTGATAATATTTATTGTTTTAGGGGGTGTCCTATATTCTTGTAGAAAATGCCATAGCACCTGGTGTTTCACTGTGTCAAAGGCCTTCTTGAAATCTACAAATGCCAGGTAGAGAGTACTTTGAAATTCTTTGCTGTGTTCAAGTAGGATTTGGAGAGTTAGTACACTCTCCACATAGTACATTAAATCCACACAACTTCTTCGGAAACCTACCTGTTTTTCCTCAATTTCAATTCAATGGAATATTTTATCCGGTTTGGCATTATTCTGGCCAGCACTTTGCTTGGGACTGACAAAAGCGTAATACCTCTCCAAATGTTACAGATTGTTACATCCCCTTTCATTGGTATTTTGACAACTATACCCTTCTTCCATTCCTTTGGAGTTCTCTCCTCTTGCCAAATCTGTTGAAGTAGTGGATGAAGTTGGTCCGTGGCGACATCACCAGCTTTTAGGATCTCGGCCGCAATGTTGTCTAAACCAGAGGCTTTGCCATTTTTCATGCTTTAGATCGCATCTCTGATTTCTTCAATTGAGGGAATTTAGTGGTAAAGCCTCTTCCTGTGTTTCTGCTCTATCCAACATCTCGCTGAAGTGTTCCTGCCATCTATTCAACTGGTCTTCAATATTTGTCAGCATTTCACCTCTCTTACTTCATACTGGTTTTTCTCTAGCGAAGTTATTCTTTGCCAGTTTTCTCGTAATGTCGTAAAGCTTTTTGGTTTTTCCTTGCCTTGCAGCTTCTTCTGCTTCCTGAGCCAGTTCATCAACCCATCTTCTTTTGTCTCTTCGCACATACCTTTTGACATTACGATTTGCTTCTGAATATTCTTGATAGGCGTTTTACTTTTGAATTCTCGTTTTGGAGCTGTTATATTTCATTTTTAAATTCTTCCTTCTGTTTACTTCAGTCCACGTCTCCTCTGACATCCATTCCTTCTTTTGCTTATTCCTGGTTTTGTATGCTATGCGCCCACTGAACTAGCAGAACAAGGAAATAAAGATGAATTCTATTCTAGCATTTCACAAGAGATAAGAAAAGCAAACAAGCAGGATATAAAATTATTATTAGTGTCTTAAATGCTAAGAGAAAACGAAGGTCTAGAGCATAAAATAGGAACTCATTGTTTGGGACAAAGGCACAAAAATGGTTAGATGTTTGTCAATCTGTGTGCAGAACATGACATGGTGATTGGAAACACGTTTTCCCCTCACCCTGATTGCCACAAGGTCACGTGGGTCTCATCTCACCTGATCACATATCACAAAGCCAAATTGATCACATTGCTATCAGTCAAAAGTTTCGTAGTTCATTGTTGGATGTGAGAAATAAGCGTGGAGCGGACATAGGGAGTGATTACCACTTAGTTCTTGCAACTTTTAGAATTAAGGTACATAAGAGAAAACATGATCGTATAGGCAGGAAGCTCTACATTGATAAATAAAAAATCCCAGCAGTAAAGAATAATTTTGTAATTGAATCCACAAATTGATATCAAGTCTTGGCTGACAGTAGTACCCCGAGTTTGGGGGTGGAGAACATCTGGAAGAATGTGAAGGAAGTTTTGGAAGAGGTTGGTAAAAATTGTTTAGGAGACAGTCTCAATTGAGTTGATTTTAATAGTTCTTTTGAACGTGATTACACCTCTGGAATGACTGAAAACACAAGTTTGGAATTCTATTTTATCAATTACGGGGCCCAGGATTACTGCAGACTTGGAGGTCATCTATCCACCCCCAAAGCCATGTTCTAGTAACGCTACTGGAGCGCATAGTCTGTAAGTGCTGTATTGGAGCTTCTCCTGGAGAATAAGATAGTGGTCAAAGCACATGAGGCAAGGCTTCAAGGGCTTACTGCCTTGAATATAGGTTTGTGAAGGAGGATATTTTAACTATCAAAACATTGTTGTTATTTATTAATAATCGGTTATAGTTTTCCTCACTTTACTCTGGTTTTATCTTCAGTTTTAACATATTTTATTCATTACAGTTGCTGACTGAAGGTGATATCATATACCTATACTTAGTCAAATATTGTTACCTTTATCCGCGTCCTCAGTTCCACTAGCGTCCCTTGTAGGTCCCCCGAGCCAGTTAGACAGGGTTCCAGCCCCTAGCTCCCAGCGCAGCGCCGTCCCATTGCGGTTGGACCACTCACACGTGTTGAGATCCGCATCAGTGCCAAAGTCGCAGAGTTCTGAAACATTCACAATTGTATCCTTCTAATGTTGTTGAGTAAAAATTTGTTAAAATATCATATAGGTTGATAAATATTTATATTTGATTAAGTTTAAAATGTGAATAAAACATCACATGGTGCACAAATAAAAATAAACATTTTCAAATTTAATTCCTATTTTAATTGATAAATACCCCCGTCGCAGCAAACCTGACAACTAAGCGAATTTCCATTTGCCTGAATTGATTTTCAATTAAATATATTTAAATGAGTACCTAGGTTTGCTGCTACAAGGAAACTAATAAAGTGTGTTTTTTAGTAAAATATTAATAGCTTAGTACAAAATAAATAAGTTTGCCAAGATTCAAACTACAACATTTTACAATATTCTCCATAAGAATAACATGGGAATTTTTAATTTAAAATTTTTTAAATTTTCTCCGTTACCAATAACCGTACAAAAATACTTTTACATACTAAATTATTTGTTTTTTTAAGCTCTTTAAAAGGTATAAAGAGAAATTGGGAAACTTTGTGTTTTGAGGGTCAAAAGTGAGAAAAACCAATTTTTACCCCATAAAACCCCCCGTAAAGCCCTGTTCCCATGGTCTGATCATGCTGGTACGCGAACTCATTCAAGTTTATCCCGCTTTACACCTTTAAACCAAATTTCATCAAAATCGGACAAAAATTACTCAAGTTATCGCGTTCACGGACACATATATATATATATATATAAATCTATTATATATATATATATATATATACATATATAAAAATGTTAACGAATGGTGTTTTTGGCCTCTGGGGACATCAAAATGAAAAAGTAAATCGCTCCCGGGCTTAGGTCTTACCATGCCACCTACGGTAATAGCTACTTCCCTATAGGGAAATTCGCTAAAAATAAGGAAAATATGTTTGCCTGTGTGATTTGAGCTCAAGTTGGCTTAAATTTTATACAGTGAGACAAAACTCCTCAAGTACAGAGAGATTTACCATTCTTGTGATGCCTGATGATGGTTCTATTGTGAACCAACACTGTCACCAAAACTATATAGGATTTCCAATAGTATGGGCATTTAAACTATTTACAAATTTTACGTTTGGAATGACTAGGCTCAGTAGTCTGGCTATTCAATTCACTATGTAGGAATTACTATGGGGAGTTACTTCATATATGACTGACATGTACAGAAAACAGTATTATTTTATAACACAACAGAGTGGAAATATCATTGCCAAGAATCCATGTACCATTAAAAACAGTCAGATTTAGTGTCTTCTTTAAATTGTTATTGGTGAAAACTAAGGGCTTAAATTAAGCCTTATATCCTGGAATCATTGTTAAATATTAAATGAGAGTGGTTTCATTTATTAACAACAGAAAGACTAAACTAAAAAAAAGGAGGATTGCTTACCAGAAGTTTCTTGTCTCTTTGGTCGCTCCTGAAATGAAAGTTGAATAAATGAAATTATTGTTTGGGAAAATAAAGTCAATAATAATTTTCAATAATTATCAATATTATCATTAATAACTAATTGTCAATAATTATTAATAATTATCAATAATAATAATTATTATAATGAGGCAGAATCACCAATAAAAATGGGATGTGATTGAGATTGATCAACAAATTAAAATGGTTTTAACAGCCACGTTGTTTAATTATATTAAAATCAAAATTGTGCCACTGTTGAAACCTAAAATTCTTTATCTTCCCTACAGCGGCTGGTATCGGAGAGGAGTTTATAACACAAGGATTGTGTGATCAGATATCAGCGTTATCACACCTCTAATAATTCTTAAGGATTGTTAAGGATCAGATTCAAAACCAAGAGGACTAGTGACTTCTGTGACAAGTTCACCAGATCATTTACTTTCAGGTAAATAACATCTGACAGGAGATAGTATGCAGTAATATAAAACAATAAAACCAAATAAAATAAATGGTATATGATTTTTCAATTCTAGAATTTCAAAAGTTGATCAGAATAAGGAGGCAAAATTAGCACTTACAGCATTATTTGTGTAGTTATCCAACAGCTGAAAGAGGTTGACAGAGAGTGGTGGAGATGCGGCAACACTGGAGATAGTGGTCAGGACTACCAACAGCACAACATTCATCCACCAGCTGATACTCATGTTGGCTCTATAAGAAACATCCAAACTAAGTGCTGACTCATTATTTAATTTAGAATTTTTTACTATAAGTCCCAAGAATTCAACATCTCAAACAGATATTGATCTTGGCCTTCTAAAGACAACCGTGAAACGTGTTAAAAAAAGAGATGGCATTTGAAACCATACAAACTGCAGTTATTACATGCTTCATCTTCATGATTGCAACAAAAGGTGGGAATTTTGTGCTGATATGCTAATGGATGTCGCAGAAGAAGGTTTCTCTTATCGTTGGATTATTTTTATGAAGCCATGTGTGATATGTCCAGTAAAGTTAATCGTTATTGAGTAAGAATTAGAGAAACCAAAAACCCCTGTATGGCTGTTAACATGAGAGATTCACCAGAATTGGATATTTTCTGGATTGTGTCTTCAGTCAAAGTATATGGTCCTTTCTTTTTTTTAAAGAAAACACTTTATCAAGAATGACATAACTTTATGGCAATGGCAGTTCCCTCGATTTGGAGATGACTGATAAATTCATTTTTATGCAAGATGGTGAGCCTCCACAATTCCTTAAAATTGATTGAACATTCCTGAACAACATTCTAAATTGATGGATAGGGAGAGAGAGGAGAAGAGGATCTCATTTTTCACTTTGGCCTTCCAGATCATCAGACCTCACTCTGCATGATTTTTATCTTTGGGTGACATCAAAGATAGGGTTTTTGCTCCACCTCATTTGCTGTTTTGTTTTAAGAACTCATCTTACACATAACAGAAGCTGTGGAATCTATCACTCCAGAGACTTTATCCAATATAGGGCAAGAAATTATGATGTGTTGTGCTTCCCATGGGGCAGATGTTAAGTGTATTAAATCTCACTGAAATAACAAAAAATATTCTTCTGTTTAATGCATTTTTATGTAAAGTTTGTCTGTTATAAGAATATTAAATCATCTCTTACATTTTGAAACAACCTGTTTATATGACCAGAAATACCTTAGTAATCATATAACACGATCTTTAATATTTTTTCTAGAGTTAGATACTGTAATTTCCCATATTAGGTGAAAGAATCGAAAATAGATAGACAGATTTTCTACTAAACTTTCATTAAAAAGGTGAAGTTACTTTTATTTGTTGAGTTGAGTATTTGCTTGTTTGTAAGCTGCTTGTAAAATAGGACCAGAATGTTATCTGATGACATTATTTTTATGGTTGTAGAATGAGTCTAACCCACGTTATGCATACACGTTCCGTATGAAATAAAATAAAAGCGTTCCGGGGTATGATTTAACATTTTTCAGTGGTAAGGGTCTACAACCTTAATTTCTCAAGGTAGAATCAACTTGGGATATATGTTACCTTGGTTGGCCTAATATACTTGTCAGCAGACACAGAGACTCATTACTGTACTGGCAGTATGAATAGTTGTACTATCCTGAGCATTTTAAGAGTTTCTAGTGGCAAAGTTTCTGCATTGGTCAATGTTCACTTCTCCTGGTGGATTTAACTCAGAGCGTATTGGCCTCGTTGGCCTGAAATGCTTCTCAGACTTTGAGATTCATTGCTCACAAAATTTTTTATTTTGAAATCCAGATTTTTTATATTCTGTGATTTAAAGTACTTCCTTGTTGCAAAGTATCTGCACTTTTTATTATACTGGGTATTCAACAGAACCTTTGTAACTTTAATTTACCTTACATTCTTTTCTGAAACTAACACGAGTGCCCAAAGGAGAGGACAACGGCACACTTGTACCACTGGCATTTTCGGGGGATTATTTTATTTTACCTATTGCCATCATAACATTTGTTCTTTGCAACAATATGATGTCATCGCGATCGCAAAAGATAAGTTTACCCTTAATAATCAGACTGCGATCGCACTATATGATGATGAAGCCTTCGCGAACAGATGTTGCAGTGGTTTGACAAGAAATAGCGCCATCGTAGGAGATGATGATAATGTCTTCGTGACAATAAGGAAATGTCAAGATATTGTCACCATCACGGAAGGCGAAAATGATGTCTTCGCAGCCGCAGGGAAATGTCAAGATATATATGCGTAATCAAGGAAGACGGTGATGATGTCTTCACCACCGCAGAGAAGTGTCAAGATATTGCCGCAATCACGGGAGAAGATCATAATAATATCTTCACAACCGCTGGGGAATATCAACATAAATAGCCGCCATTGTGGATAGGGATGACGATGTCTTCGCAACCGAGGAGGAATGTCGAGGTATTGCCACGATCACCGGGGATGAAAAAGAGTCTTTATGATGCGGAGGAATGTAAATATATTGTCACGTTCACGGAAGGTGATGATAATGTCTTCATGACCAGGGGAAAATATCAAGATATGGCCACAAACACAAAGGAGATGATTATGTCTTTGTGACAGCAGGGAAATATCCAAATATTTCTGCACTCACGGAAGGCAATGATGATGTTTGGGTAAACAGAGGGGAGTCTTCATGATGCAGGGGAATGTCAATATATTGCCATGCTCACAGAAGGTGATGATGATGTCTTTGCGGTAATAAGATGGGCATATGCTCTAGATTTGGCTGCAATTCCAGGAGATTTTAGAAATTTTGCTGCGATAGGAGAGATTACCTCGATATGGGAATGATGACGGATTACTGTCATAATGTCATTATGATCCAGACAAATAGAAGATCGCAGTCTCAGAGAGGACGCAGCAAGATCATAGTGTTCCAATTCCCCTGGTCCGGTAATGGCTGCCTGGTCATGTGTTTGTCCAATTGTGGCTATTTCATTATGTCTTATTTGGGTTAAGGAGGATCTCCCTAACTCTCTTTAATGAACATGGCCATTTAATAATTTCAAAATTACCCAAATATTTCATCGTCTCCATTGTTTTGTATTGTAGCTTTGTACTAATGTTCACAATTAATATTTTGTATTGACATTGACATATATTGTGGCTATGTTATGGGGGGAGGTGAAGAAAAGGGTATTAGGAAATGGGGGAATTTGCGCTCCTGACCTTGGAGGGATGGGCACCTCTAGACACTGAGATGCCCTTCTCACCAGGTTGTTGATTCCTGACTCATGACTATTGATATCTTGTGATTTCAAAGATTATCTAGTGACGAAGTGTCTGCACTGTATTATGGGAGAACTATGTGACCTTGGTTGGCCCTGCATACTTGTCTGGCTATTGCTGACAGTGTGATTAGTAGATCGGATCAGCGACCTAATTGGTGAGTGACGAGTGACTGTGCAGGCCAATGTCAGAGCAGATGCACACGGGTGGTCACATTCAGAATGTCCTTCAGTCTTCCTGTCCCCTAGGTCACTAGTCATCCCCTGACCTCCAATGTGAATATCTCCAGTAAGGGAACTGTTAGGTTTATAACTCCAGCATGCATAGCAGAAAAGGGATCCACTTCCACAAGGTCCAATCTTCATACCAGTCTTGTCTTAAACTGTGAACTAGTCTTTATTGACTTGATTTTGATTGGAATCAAAGCAACATTATTAGGTACATCTATCTCCTGATGTCAACATAGCTATAAATAATATGTGCTCGCAGGAGAGGGGGGGGGCATAAATCCATTTAAAAAATCCTAAACATTGGATAGACAATGTATAACAAGCTATTTAGTGAATTATTGGTGCATTAAAGAAAGGTCAAGGGCGCAACATCGGGGTGGGAGGGGGTAATGGTACTTCCTCCATAGGGGCTACTAGGTATTTATTTTTTATAAAATTCAAATTTGAACCTAAACATGATTACGATTGCAGTAGCAAGAAGCATCTACGGAGATTGGGCAATCAAAATTCACAATGTTACCAAAATTGGGAGAGACGATCACGATGCCACTGCTATTGCGAGAGGTAATCATGATTTCTCCGCTATGCCGGGAAACGGTCAAAGTTTTGCCAAGATCAGGAGATACGATTATGGCATTTTCCGCGATTTCTAAAATGGTCACTATAGTGCCACGATCACAATTATCATGCTGACAATAATGATGACTTTGTGATAAAAGCACATTACTATTTCTAATCTATAAGTAATCGATAGAGCTAATGCTGTTTTCCTAATAGTAGCATGGACGTTGAAAATCAAGATATCATGTACATAGTTTAAACTTGTATTTTTGTTGTTAAATAAGCTGACAGATAAGTTTAGTTAAATTGTAAACAATAAACTTTCTGTTTTTAGCCATTGTCAAAAGAATAAAGAAATTTTGCCAACAAAGTATGAAGATTTCTTTCTCAAGATTCACAAAGAAAAATTATAAAAAGTTCTGAGATTTCCACTACCTCATGTCAGTACTGATAAGAAATACTGTATATATTTAATAGCCCAGATAAATATTTAAAAAAAATATTTTCAAATAGTGGGTTAAATAAATCTGATAAAATGAAAAGATACAATAATAATTATGTTATGGGCAATTGTGTCTGTACGTTAGAGTTATTTTTATAGTGTAAGATTTGGGGTTGTTTGCGATTCACCAGTTATTGAGTCGAGTCGGGTTTTATGTTGGGTCTCCTTATCTGTTTGTGTCTGTCTGTGTGTCTGACCTGTCAGTATGTGACGCTGTCAGGTTTTGTTAGCTTTAAACTTAAAAGTTTTTCTGTAAGACTATGATGCAGAGAGATTTATTTTAATTTTCAACATGTGGTCAAATCCGGGATTTGCCCCAAGGGCCAGCAAATTCGCTGTTCTGTTCTACACAATTATCGAACACTAAAGTCATTTAGTTATCTGATCTTAAAAAATTACATGACTACGTTTAATTGTTTGACATTAGAAATTTCAGAACGTTTGCAAAGACCTATCCTAAGTAAAACCGATTTCGTGGTATGCAAAGTTTGTCATGGGTATGGTTGATAATCCAATTTTATAAATAAGTAAAAAGTTAAATATATATTTATATATGTATATCTTTCACCCAATACATTTTATCCTGGTTCTGAAATCTAGTGTGTGAAAGAGTAAAATCTTTTGATGGCTATATTAATTGGTAATTAGCCTAAAATCGCTCACTTATTGATTTACTCGAGGGCAAATTATTGAACGACTCTTAATAATTTTTTCCGATGTTTAATAAGACAAATTAAATAATGAAGAACTTTAGTCACATTACATTAGAAGATCGACAAATGAATACGACGAAAAGATAAACAAAATCTAAACATAATACAAGGATTGTAGTCTGTAGATTAATAGTCAATGATACAAGCGTATCACTATAATTCTCTATAATTCTCACGAATAGGAGGATAGGAATTTAACCTTTAAATCTAAACACGCTTACCGTTTTTCAAGGAGACAAGCATATTATGTACTATCCCAAGACCCTGTAGTATGTGAAATAGTTTGTTAGAACTTGTGTAAAACGAAAACTATTGTAACAATAAACACACTCAAGCCGTCTCGCCTAATCTACGCTCTCGTCTTCCTCCTTTTGACGTTGACATGAACTCTTGTTATGTTTCTTAACTCACTTAACTCGTCAAGGACTCCTAGTATAGCGAAAGGATGGAAGAGCAAGCGACAAAAGATATGATAATGACACCCTATTCAAGGTTTTGTGAATTTCCTTGAATTCGTTTCAACACTTGCTTCCGCCCATAATAAAATCTAGTTTATCCATTGCATTCATAGTGGCTTATTAGTACAGTATGACTACATATTTCTAGCCTATAACTCCATGATTCCAATGACAATTCAAACACAAGAATCGGGCTGTAGCAAGTTAGTACAAAATCACCATAAAACAAATATTTAAAAATGTGCTTCGATTTGATAATGCCCATTTTCCTAAGTGCCTAGAATTATTCATTACTATATGAGCTCCAGATTGACACATGAGGCAACCCTGATATTGGGAAATGCGGAGAATATAAAAGACGCCTTTTTAGGTTTACCTGTCAGTAGAGCAAAATTGTGTCTAACTTCATTGTTCAAAGCTAATGCTGAAATAACTGAAGATATTTCGTTGCAATGCAACATATTCGAAGCTTGCAACACGTCAAACACATCAAAATGTACACATAATACAGTACATTTACACGACACGGGACATTTAAACACGAAAAAACACGATAGCGCTATTGCACACTACGGCGGTTGTATGTAGACTCCCTATGAATGAATACTATAGAAAAGACGCTTTGGGCCCGTGTGATAAACTATATTTTTCATCATATCGCACTATTCAATTCATAAAACAAAATGTTGTGAATTATTTATGCTTATAGGTTGACTCAAATTTGGTAAGATCTTGTTTCTTTATACAATCAAACAGCTGCTACCAATGTATTCAACTATGTTACCTGTTTACGTAGTTTATTAAGAGTGGTCAAATTCCTGAAGTGTCTTTACATTTTAATCCAAACATCGATTAAGCTGTATTTATTCTAGTAAGATGTGATACAAAGCAAGGCGGTGACAAACACAAATAGATTCATGTGACGATATGATAATTGTTAATGGGATCTATTTTCTTTGTCGAAATCAGCGGAAGGAGTTAAATAAGGGTTAAATATACAGGTGATAAAACCCGTAGATGCGTAGACTCCAGTCAATTCTTTTTTTACCTTAGAGAGTAAAAGAAGTATACGACAAAAGATTTATTTTACCTAACATAAAATACGCCCCAAACAATTGTATATTACTCTACACTTGTTTTGTTATATTAATTTAAATACAAACAAACTATTTAAATATTGGTTGATATTGTTATAGAGTCAAGTATCAAGGAAACAATCCTAGGAACACTTTAATACCATCAATCATTTTGATAACCATCCCTAACTTACAAAATCTGTACTTATTGACCTCAAAACTAAAATAGTTATGTTAAATAAGAGATAAACCAGAAACTTGTGTTTTACGTAACAGGGATGTATAAGCATCTCTATGCGGATTTTATGGACTATTGCAGAACATTTTTCTTCTACATGATTTTAAACACATTTTTTGAAACGACGAATAATTAAAATTTAAATAAGTGAAATATAATACAGTATGAAGAATTCTTAATGACGGTAAACTGTGAGAATATGAGAATTGCTAGTATATATTCATTCTCATGAAAATAATTTATTGTTTAGTGTAGTTCTAAACGAATAGCGTAAAGCTTGAATTTATAATTTGGTGACTGTACATTACTTTTTATAGAATAGAGGGGTCTAAACGAATAGCGTATCTTTATTGTTAAAGCTTGAATTTATAATTTGGTTACTGTACATTACTTTTTATAGAATAGAGGGGTCTAAACGAATAGCGTATCTTTATTGTTAAAGCTTGAATTTATAATTTGGTTACTGTACATTACTTTTTATAGAATAGAGGGGTTTAAAGAATAGCGTATCTTAACTGTTAAAGCTTGAATTTATAATTTGGTTACTGTACATTACTTTTTATAGAATAGAGGGGTCTAAACGAATAGCGTATCTTTATTGTTAAAGCTTGAATTTATAATTTGGTTACTGTACATTACTTTTTATAGAATAGAGGGGTCTAAACGAATGGCGTATCTTTATTGTTAAAGCTTGAATTTATAATTTGGTTACTGTACATTACTTTTTATAGAATAGAGGGGTCTAAACGAATGGCGTATCTTTATTGTTAAAGCTTGAATTTATAATTTGGTTACTGTACATTACTTTTTATAGAATAGAGGGGTCTAAACGAATGGCGTATCTTTATTGTTAAAGCTTGAATTTATAATTTGGTTACTGTACATTACTTTTTATAGAATAGAGGGGTTTAAAGAATAGCGTATCTTAACTGTTAAAGCTTTAATTTATAATTTGATTACTATTACTGTACATTACTTTTTATGGAATAGAGGGGTTCGGTTCAGGTTTACTGACCAAACAACTCTTCCAGCCATTAAACTTAAGACAATGTTTATAGTATGAATTCAAAGATCATGACAATTTATAGCAAATCAATTTATTTGCTAAAACTATTAACAATTAATATATTATTTTTTGTAAAAAATGTTCATGAATGCGATATGATTAACTATCAGTATTAATGTACCCTAAACAAACGTAACGGGTGTATATTTTTGCTTGAGTCATGTTCTCGTTGTACTTTTCACAATATCAAAGTACGCTTTGAAAGTCAACTCTACTTCCGCCAATTTTTTACCGGATACGACATGGAGCGTTGTATGAAATTTCTATTGTAACCGCAAAATTGCTTGATTCGCTTCCGGTAAGTATGCGACACTTCAATGTTTTCCTATAGGGAAAATTTTTTTCGATTTAGTATGTAGACTAATTTCTGTACACTTACTTATTAATTTGCTTACTTCATACTTATAACATTTATAATTTTTTATACTTTTGATGATAAAGCTTTGCTCAGTAGGGGTTAAAGCTCCTCAATTCAGTGAAAGAGTAATGCGTAGTTAGGGAACAGTGTTTGATGTTACAACCAACAAGAAACAATAAATGTTCAAACACTATAAAAAGTAGTTTTTAAGAAACTTAAGGCAAATAGAAGTGTTACTTGTACCTTTTATCTGCAGGGTTTCGTAAAACCCTTATATAGTAAACTTATTTATTAATTTAATTTTTTGACAATCAGAAAAATGTGATTAAAAATAAAGTGCCAACAAATGTTATCGGTTTACCATAAAATAAAATCTATTAATTACACCCTCAAAACTGTTATCAACACTTAAAGTGTAAATTATAATGGGTATAATTCAATATTTAATTAAACTGACTAAACCAAAAAACTATTTTTTCGGGGGAGAGTGATCCGCTAAACTGTGGATAGTTCTCGTCTAGTATGTCAGAAGGCAGCCAGTTCGATCGTGAAAATTCGAATGATTTGAAACTGAATCCAGCTGTCTTTGATCAATGTGCTCAAGAAACAGCTGATCTTGGGCAGTAATACATAGAGTATCTCACTCAACTACACTCATCTCTCTTTTCTATTTAGGTCTAAATACACCCCACTTTCTTCTCCATTTCATATAGTGACTAGGTGTTACCCGTCGCGTCGGCTCGCCCGATATAATTTTGTGTTTTATTACCACTATGAACCCGCTAAAGGCTAAAATTGTCTTTTGTATGTATAACTGTCCTTTCACCAGGAGTTTTTCACCTTCCTTTCACTTAGAATAATTATAGGCCTACCCTTAAACTGAATTTACCAGTAGTTGAGCTAGTTCTCTTTTTACGTGATAGAAAAGAAAAGTGTTACATATCTTACAGTTACATCCTTGTCTTAGACATCTCCGAGAGGTGGGTTCCGAACCACTGTTCCCGGCTTTGTCGCTTAATTTAGTAATTTTTGATAGGCAATATTTTGACCCCAAGTCTCCTAGATCAGAAGCCTTTCACACTCGCTGTAATCAATAGAATAGCCGCATTCTAATGCTACAATAATATGTTGCACATATTATGTTGATGTCTAGTAATAGGGTTTCGCCTAATGAAATATCACTATCATGTTTCAATTAATTATTATACTACCTAGAGAATTGACCTTGCCGACGTGAATAATTAATTCAAATCGAAGACAAACGGAAATGATAATTCTTCTAATAGTCGACCTTGTATGAAGTATAAATTGTCTCACTAGAAAAGTAGCTATAGAACCTTTCATGAATCACAATACCTGTCACAACTATACATGCAAAGGTCGGCTTTATAAGACTAGTGAATTTAGGTGACGTGAAAAAGTGGAATCAATAACTTACAATGCCAAAGTGTGAGGCTATTAACCTATAGAGCGGTTCCAGTATTCCCACACTTCGGGCACACAGAAAGACAACTAGCGAAACGCTTATAACGTCTATAAAAATTACTTATTAATTGAATGATACAAAAATTGTTTTGAAAACTATTAGGCATGGTTTTACAGTTATTATGCATGTAGCCTATTGATTGACATTCTATTGTTATGTGAATGTGTTGTGCTTTTGATGTTTTATCCGTCCATATTTATAAAACTTAATTTCAAATTTCAAAGCAAGGCTTTTTATAGTCAAACATTCCTATTTAACCCTAAGTAGGCTACGGTAAAAATCGTCGTATCATGGAATATGAGTAAGTGGTACACTTCAGAGAATCACAATTGTACGCGCCCATTTTTACCGTTTACTCCAGTGGCATTTTCAATTAAGGAAAACCCAACACTTTTTAACAATAGAGAAAAATAATAGAAAACTAGTGGAACCCCGTCGAAATCGACGGTTAATCTTGAGGTTTTATGTAAATTCAGCCAACTGCGATAGATAGAGTGAAGTCATTAAAATCTTAGTCAAATGAAGGGAGGATAAGCATAATAATAAGTATGACGATTGTGTTCCCTAAAAAACGTGATTGTTGAATTCGTTTAACACAATATTTCCTACCTTTTTATCGGCTTTATGTTGCCCAAAAGGTTTTTTAGGAGTCGTTATAATTGTTTGTTCATGAGTTTGTTTTATGTCAAAGCCA